CCAAGGAACACTTTGGTCAGCTGTCATTGCCATAGCTCTCCATTAAATAAGCTTTAGGGCTCGAATCCCGATAGAGAGAGAGAGACTGCTCACCTAATTATCAATGAGAATGCCACTTAGGATGTTTTAAACTCTCATTAGCTTAATGCAATATATGCTATCCGTGAAATGGTGATATAATCTAATTTTTTATTAATTAAGATGGTACAACATTATTATAATAATTAGACATTAAATTAAGGAGAAATTATATAAGTAATAACATATATTTTTTAATTATTAAATTCATTTATTTATGCAATTCATGACCGATACGTCCTTAAAAAATTATCTTGATCGGGCACGAATCTCGATGCAAAATCAAGTTGGAAACTTCAAAAATTAAATCAGAGACTATCCGAACTCCGATTTCAGCAAACTTACAATCAAACTGAACATCTCGGAAATACGAACCCAACGACACCAAATTCGACTCAATCCGAGCCCAAATGGGTCTGAAAATCAAGGGTATGAAACACTGTTGGAGCGTTTGAACCACAATTTGGTTTACCAAACAATTTCCAAACATGACGTGCTTATATATAGTCGATTCGAGCGGCTCGACGAGACGAATCCAACGAGCCCAAGATCGCTGAATTCTGACACCATTAAGACCTTCAAATGTCTTACGAAGGGTCCACGATTAAGGGATTCAATATCGGTCGTCCATCCAACCACTCCCCATTTACCCTTGATCTCTCACCTATTTACGAGCAATGTCACTCCATAAATCTATAAATAGACCCCTCATTTCTCTTGAGAGGAGGAGGAGAGCAAGAAGAGAATAAGGAAGAAGAGAAGGAAGAGAAGGAAGAAGCTCCTCCTCGACCATCGCCAGATTTTCGTCGGAAAACCACTTAAGGCCCTCACCTCCACCTGACCACCGCCTGACGTTGTTGCTCCGCCGGACCACCACTTAAGGCCCTTACCTCCGGCGAACCACCGCTTGACGTCGTTGCTCAGTCGGGCCACCACTTGAGGCCCTTACATTCGCCGGACCATTGCTTGACAACCACTTGAGGCCCTCACATTCGCTGGACCACTGCTTGACGTCGTTGCTCCGTCGGACCACCACTTGAGGGCCTCACCTCTGCTGGACCACCGTCTGACGCCGTTGCTCCGCTGGACCACCACCTTAGGCCCGGACTTCTTTCGGACCACCACCTGAGGCCTGGACTTCTTTCGGACCACCACTTGAGGCCATGTGCTCAACCAAAACACCACATGAGGGCTGAACTTCTACCGAACCACTACTTGAGGCCTTGAGCTCCACTAGGCCATCACTTGATGCCCAAAGTTCTCCCAGAATATTGCCCTTCAACTACGGTCTTCCTAACTCCGGTCTCCTGCCGACTACAGTCCTTCTGACCTCCGTCGCTTATAATGGTCCTTCTGACCTACATCGCCAGACAACGGTCTTTCTAACCCCGGTCTCCTGCCAACTACAATCTTTCGTACCCCTGTCTCCTGCTAACTATGATCCTTCTGACCTCTATCACTTACTACGGTCTTTCCGGCCTCCATCCTATTAACTATGGTCGTGCCGACCAAATAAAGATGTCTATATTGTAACTCCCACCATGTAATGTGCTCTATATGATGTACATTTGTATCATCAAGCCAAGGCCTTCTTACAAGGGAGGGCCTAATTTGTAATCGACTACAAATACTAGTAGATTCATTCAAACTGGGCCAGGCCACGTGATTTTTCCCCGTTTTTCAGGGGTTTCCACGTAAAAACTCTGGTATCTCTTAGAAATGTTGCACCCTCTATCTTATCTGATTATGTGTTGGATCATCGTACAATGCTAAGACGTTAAACTATATATTTTTCTACCACCGCGAATATTCCAGGACGCAACAATGACCAAATTATTAAAATTTGATTTAAAATATTATTAATTAAGAATTAATTGTAAATTTTGATTTGTCTGCATAAATTTTTAAAATAAATACATAATTTTATAAATAGATCAAATTTAAAATATTTCATATGTAATTACTCCTAAAATTAATTACATATAAAACCAATTACAAATGGAATTTTAATAAAATAATAATAATGAATATTTAGTTTAAAAATATTCAGACTCACAATGGGATTGGGATATCTAATATTTAATTTTAAAAGAAATATAATGAGCTCGAACTTTTTGATAAATAGTATTCTCTAAATTAAAATCATTATTGATTCAGTACTTATTCATATAAAAAAATGTTTTATAATTAATTTTATTATTCAATACTTATTAGAACTAACCATCTTTAGTCTTTAATGGATATAACTCTTTCCATAATAATAGTGCGCATTAAATATAAATTAAACAAGCCAATCAAAATATCATTTTAATGTAGCTTTAAAAATGAGAAAAAATTAGACAATAAATAATAAATAAATGCACTTATGACATTTAAAATGAGAAAAAGAAAGCTAAAAATCATCATATCAATTTGTTTTTCAAATAGAGCTAAAAACATTAAATTTAATTTTCATTTAAATATAAAATAATTTTTTATAAAATTTCCCTGCATATAAAATAAATTTTTATAAAATTTCCCTGCATCATATATATTCATCTCAAAATAAATTAAATATTTTAAAATATATCTGATCAATACTAATCATATTTTTTATTTAATTTTTTTATATACTTTTTTTTTTTAATTTTCAAATATTATTTGTATACAAGATATTTTAAATAAGACATACTCATAGTCTACAATCTACATGCATGCATTATTATTGCAGCACACACCTTGCACGCAAGTATATTCCACCTACTTCTACCTTCAAGTCCATGCCGTATTAGAGATCATTATGTTTTGTTGACTTTTTAAAGTTAATTAGTGGCTAATTAAGATTTCATTTGAGACTGACTTTCTTATTTGTTCTTAAAAATATTTTTTAGTATAAAATTTAAAAATTTTATACTAAAAAATGACTTTATTAAAAAAGAATAAAGAAAATCATCCCAAATGAATACTGCAAAGTTGTTTTAAAAAATAATAAAAAAAACTATCTCAAACAAAGCTTAAGTTTTCATTTGGGACGGCTTTTTTACTGCTTCTGAAAATAATTTTTTAGATTTTTGTACTAAAAAATTCTTTAAGAAGCATTAAAAAAGACGTCCCAAATGAAACCTAAGTGTCTAGGATTAAGTGATTAACTTGTTCTAATAGCTTAGTTTGAGGGGTTGGATGACCTAAATGTCTTATTGATTTATTAGGCTTGTTAAAGTAGGCTTGTGGTCATTATAATACATGAAAATGTCACAATCGGCATATGCATTTATATAAGTGTAATTTTCTTGCTAACAAGTGGCGCCGTGTGAATATATTATAGGAGGATCGATATACATACATAGCATGTAGCACATGCAAAAGGATGGAATTTGTATGTCTAGTTAGGAGTGTCAATTCGGGTCAACCGGTCGGGTTCGGGTCGAACCCGGAACTGACCCGGCTCTATTCGGGTCAACCTGAACTAGATCCGTTTTTAAAAAAAGGGTCAGGTTTCTGGACCCGAACCCGACCTGACACGAATGACTCGGGGTTGACCCAAAATTGCTAGTTTTGGGGTCAAAAATCGGGTCAATCTTTGATTTTCGGGTAAAAAACGGGTCAATTTCGGGTTAAATATGAGTTTTCGTGTCACTTTTGGGTCAATTTCGAGTTGCTGGGTCAACCCGAAACCGACCCGATTTTTTAAACGGGTTGATTTGTTGAACCCGAACCAGACCCGTTTCGTGTTCGGGTTGACCCGAACCGGATTTTTTCGGGTCGGATTTGGGTCGTGTTTCGGGTCGTCTCAAAAATTGACACCCCTATGTCTAGCTAATAATTTAACTTTATTATTTACATAATATATCAATTTATTAATATGAGGGTGTTGTTTTGAATGATAGTTAAAGTTGAGTACCATATATGTAATTAGTGAAGTTTCAATAGTAGATGCTTTTTTTTGCTATTTATGTAAATCTCTATATATATTATATAATGCACAATATCTTTATTGAGTATGCGTATTTTATTGAACGAACAAAATGCAGAAAATATTTTGATAAATAATTTTGACTTTATGATGAAAATAAATTTAAAATATTATCATTTTATTTGAATTCAAACTGTTACTATATGTTTTGCATTTATGACTAGAGCACCAAAAATTACAATAAATTGTGTTAATATTATTGTCCATCCAACATCAAATCCCAACCATCTTTCTAACATTAATAATAATAATAGTAGAAAGTTTTTTTTTTTTTTTTTTTTTTTTTTTTTTTTTTTTTTTGTAACGGGTAAACACCCACTATCACCCTCGAAAAGATATTTGACGTTGTGACTAATTCTCGGCTTGGCAACAAGAGGCACCCACCCCAAAAACCTCCTAGCTCACACTTGATTGAGCCCCACTTAAGAGGTGTTGCCGCTCGAGGGAAATCGAGCACGGGTTTGTGGGTTTCCAATCATACTCTCCCACCAACCAAACTAAATAATAGTGGGTATAGTATAAAGTTTCAATAATGACTCGAATTATATATATAGTCAATTGAATTATTATTCAACCAAATAGCCCCTCCAAACTTAGCTCATCTTGGCCTGTTGGTTGAGAGCTTATGCTCACAACTAAGAGGCCTTGAGTTCGAGTCTTTGTATATGCGTTATGTGTATGAATTTGTCTTAAATGATCCAAATATTCAAAAAAAATAAAAAACCGTTCCAATGTAATTTTGATACACAACTCTCCTTGGCCTATTGGTTGAGAGCTTAGGCTTCCAACTAAGAGGTTCAGGATTCGAGTCTATGTGTATGCGTTGTGTGTGTGAATTTGACTTAAATGACGTAAATGTCCCAAATTTTTTTTTTGATTCAATGATGAGGTTATCTGACTCACGTGACAATATTTAGGTTGCTGCGGTGGAAGCGAAACGCAAGAGCTGTATATAAATTGCAAATCCCACACCCAACTTGCACATTGACCCCTTTTCCTTAATCCAGAGTACCCCTCCGCCCTTTCCCCTTCTCTGTCTCGGATCTCGATCTTCATAGAGTTGCTGGGAAGAATCAAGAAACCGTGGATATACGGTTATTACAAAGCTTAAGCTAAGAGAACTGAAGGTGCGAAAGCTTCTACATTTATATCTCTGTAACTTCGTGCTTGGTTTCATGGGTGGATCGGGTTATTCGGGATTCAAGAGAATAAACTGACGGATTTGTTGATTTTCCTTGTTTGTTCAATTCAAAAAATAGTAATTTTGATTTTCGACAGCGCATTCCCAATTCTATTGTGCCCCTTTTGCTATTTTCTTATATCTTCGCCGCTGTGTCTAATATTAGCATATTCAATTTCGTTTCGGTGGATTCCTTGTTAAATGCGCTGCCTTTGCCTGAATATTTGTTTGCGGAGATGATCGCATATAGTTTTGATCCTATCATGGCACCCGACATGTGATATTCTTCTTTTTAGGTTTTTTGGTGAGGTCGCCATCTTTTTTACATTGAGATTTTTTTTAGATCTGTTTGTGCTATAGGAAGATTCTTTATATTAATGTAGGGGTTGCAAGGATTTTTTTTTGCCCAAGATATTGATAGGATCTGGTTGAAGACGTAGGATATGAGAATTTTTTGCAGCATGACATTTTGAATTGCCTTTATCTGCAGGGTGATTGTGATCGATTGTATTTTCTCCTTGATTTTGGGGGAAATTAAACTATCAGCACGATGGTTGCTTCAATTGCTACCTCCGCCTTCTTTCCTGTTCCATCTTCTTCTTCTGCGGCGTCTTTGAAGAATTCAAAGACCATTGGTGAAGGTTCAGAGTCATTGAATGTACGGAGAATTGCTGCTGCCAAACCTGCTTCATCTTCCAGTGCCATGCAGGTTAAGGCCAATGCCCAGGCCGTTCCTAAGATCAATGGCTCAAATGTTTGCTGGAAACCTGAAACCCTGAAACATGACGAAGATGCCCCCTCTTCTGTCCCAAGAACATTTTATAATCAATTACCCGATTTGAGCGTGCTACTTGCCGCCATCACCACCATCTTTTTGGCAGCAGAAAAGCAGTGGACCCTCATTGATTGGAAGCCAAGGAGGCCGGACATGATCGCCGATGCATTTGGTCTTGGAAAGTTTGTTCAGGATGGGCTTGCTTTCAGGCAGAATTTTTCCATTAGGTCATATGAGATTGGAGCAGATCGCACAGCTTCTATCGAGACGTTAATGAATCATTTACAGGTGAGATTAAAAGGATTTGTGTGATAATTATTATTATTGTTTTATTTTTTTTGTGTTTTTGAGCTTAAGAACTTTTTTTTTCCCTCTTTTTGCAGGAGACGGCACTTAATCATGTAAGGATTGCAGGCCTTATGGATGATGGCTTTGGTTCCACACCTGAAATGAGTAAAAGAAATCTTATATGGGTCGTGGCTAAAATGCATGTTTTTGTAGAAAAATATCCTGCATGGTGAGTTCCTGTTGTTTGATTTTTGTCCTTCTGCAAGAGCTAACTAATGCATATTTTGTATGTATTATATCTTCCTTTAACCAGTATTTCTTCTTAATATAATTTCACCCGAATACAAATCCATTCATTAAAGTTTTGTGGAATAAATGATCCATCATAACAATTTTTTCTTCTCCAGCAAAAAAAAGAAAGAAGAAAATTAAATTATGCATAGACACCACAATCACAATAAGATCTCCAACCAAGTCCCATATCTTCCAAACTTCCTAGTAAACTATTCATTATACCACTGGATAGCAAGTAAGTTTATACTCGACCTACACTTGGCGGTTGCTTTGAGTATGGGCCAGTTCAAATGGTCAGCCTCTTGAAAATTCATGCCCAAGTTCAATCTTACAATTCGTTGAACTCTTTGACCAAAACCAAACTTTTTTTCCTTTTGGTTATGTTGGGACAACCAAGTAAGTTTATAATTTATATTCAAATTTTAGGTTGTGCTGGGTTTCTAGTGCCTTATAAAGGGATAATTATTATGCGCGGATGTTGAACGCCGTTCGGAGACCGACCAGAATGCGTCATATCACCCCTTGCTTGGTACCGCGGCTCGGTACTGCTAATGTGGCACATTCTGTTTGGTCTCCGGACGGTGTTATGCATCCATTCTCCGCACAGAATAATTTCTCCTTATAAAGCCCAACTCAGCCACACAACAGGCAGGTTGGGTTTCTTGTGCCTTATCAGTTTGACGAATAGGTTACAGCCTTACAGGTTATTGCCTGAAACTTTGTTTTGTGAGGTTTGCTCAAATATGAACAGTGAATTGTTCTATTACATAAGACTCTTTTAAAATTATAAATTTTTTTATTCTAGGGATTTATGTTGTTTGTTCATCTTGGCTCACTGCCTGTCTTTTCAATGGAACAATGTAGTGCATACTTGATTCTATAATTTCCTAGTATTGCGTGGCAGTTAAATATCAAATTATGCTATCTTAGTTAACCATGTTGTTTTGTGGTGCAATACATGTCTACTGTAAATTTGTTTGTTTTGACATGCAAACTTGATATATGATTTCTCAAGTTAATACTGTCACTATATGAGCTCTGTTTAACGACTAAACAATGGTTACCTGGTCATTAATTTCACTGTAAAAGTTCTTCTGGCAGTAAATTCACACTTTTTTTGTTTTTGATTGTCAATTACATTGGTCTTGATATTTTTTTCCATTTCAATTTGTTTGCAGGGGAGATGTTGTTCAAGTAGATACTTGGGTTAGTCCATCAGGTAAAAATGGGATGCGGCGTGATTGGCATGTCATTGATTGTCAAACTGGTGAAAGTATAGTAAAAGCTACAAGGTTAGAGCCTTAACGCTCACCCGCTTTTAATATGTTTTGGCTTTATATAATCACCGAAGAGTTACCTACCATTATTGTAGTTTGCAATTGTTATTATTATTAGAATTCATGATTTTGTTTGTATTTTATCTTATTTTTTTCTCTGTCTAGTGTTTGGGTGATGATGAATAAAAACACCAGAAAGTTGGCTAAAATGCCAGATGAAGTTAGGTCAGAAATAGGGCCCTATTTCATAGAGCGTGCAGCTGTTGTAGATGAGGATAGCAGAAAGCTTCCAAAGCTTGATCATAACACTGCACAACATGTCCGAAAAAGCTTAACTGTAAGTTTGAGATTCCTTGTCATGGCTAGTCCTGTTAGTTTCTGTTTCAACAATCTCATGCATGCGTTAATGGTTTAAATTTTCTCTTTTCTTTTCTGGATTTTCAGCCTCGCTGGGGTGACTTGGATGTCAATCAACATGTGAACAACGTCAAGTATATTGGATGGATTCTTGAGGTATTCTTATCCATTATTTTTATATTCCATAGCGTTCATGTCATTTTTTAAAACACCTGATTATCTTGCAGATGTAATGATTAATTAACCATAAAGTTACTAAGTTTTCAGTGCTTTAATCAGTTGAACCAAATAAAAGTGTATTTACCCCATTCTGTTAATGGAGAAATTATTATGTGCGGAGTCCGGATGGCGAGAACTGTCCGAATTTGCTGCGTATTTACTAAGGATTTGCTGATACTCAGGTGTGAGTATTTGCTGAGTATTTTGTGAGTATTCGTTGAGTATTTTGTGAGCATTTGCTGGTTTACTGTGTATTTACTGAGTATTTGCAAATACTCAGCAAATACTCAGTAAATACGCAATAATCCAAACAGTTCATTCCGTCCGGACTCCGCACAAAATAATTTGACCTGTTACATGTTCCATAATGATTATTTACATGCTTGTATCATGAGTGACAGGCAGATAAAATAGCTGATTGCAAAGTTGAGAGCCGAAGATATGTCAATGTTAAAGTGGATATTTTGCAAAAATTATAAAGGATAAATTAAGGAACTACTAATTCATATGGGTAGTTGTTGGAGTAGCATTAATTAAAAATAAAGCAATTGAAAATAGATTTTATTTAGATGGTTTGGACATATAGTAGAAAAATACACCCATTATATTGATAGATAAAATTAATATAAATAAATTAGAAAGGAAAGAAGGTAAACTTATGATTATATGAGCATATGTTATTTGAAAGGATTTGTGAAGACTAAGATTTGACACCTTTTATAACACTTAACAGGAAATAAGGGAAAATAAGGATTCATAAAATTGAACTCTAAATAGTTGGATAAAGTTAACGATGATGTTCTAAAATTAGCATTACATCTAGAATTTAAATAATGATCTGATGCTCCTTTTTTGAGGAAAAGTTATGCAAAAATGATGCATATATAAGTTATGAAAGGTAGTTCTGGATCTTTATTGAGAAATGTGCATCCAAATATAATCAATTAAAAATAGTTTTGATAATGGAATGCATCTATGATCTATCTCAACAGAAATTTTTTTCATAACTATTTTCTTGTCCCATTGGTGGATAGCACTAAGTGTCTGCTCAGAGAGATTATTCTGTGCAGACATCAGCCGAGAGAACCATCCGGTTTACGCTTAGATACCGAGCGGTATTGAGCCTCGGTATTAAGCTCGGTACCGAACGTGACGCATTTTCATTGGGGTCTATGCGGAGGTCTGAACTCCGCACAGAATAATTTTTCACTCACAAGAGTACAAGGTTCCAAATTGTCAGATATTTAATTACAATGAGTACTTAATCTACATGGCTGCGAGTGTCATACTAGTCTTGAAGTTCTTTATATATTGACAATTGACTGTTTAGTTTTTCTTTCCTTTCTATATAATTTCTTGTCATCATGAAAGGTCTGCAAGTCTCTGAGTTCTATCTGTTTTGAATACTTTTAGAGTGCCCCAACTTCCATCCTGGAGAGTCATGAGCTTGCTGGCATGACTTTGGAATACAGAAGAGAGTGCAGAAGGGACAGTGTGCTTCAGTCTCTGACCTCTGTCTCAACTGAGTGTTCCGACGGATTGCAAGGTACCACCATGGAATGTGTTCACCTTTTACAGCTTGAGAACGGCGATGAGATCATTAGGGGACGTACAAAATGGAGACCAAAACGAACTGGGCTTCAGCAACATGGAGCTCTCGCCACTGCGAGCACCTGAAGCACCAAATCAAACTGAAGCCCATATTCTGCTGCTATGTCCATTCCCTCTACGTCCAATCAGTGCAAAATTGGGAATTGTTGAGGGAAACACAACGAACCTCAACTGATATTTGTCTACTAAGAGATGGAGAGGGGGTAGTATCATATTGGTCATTCTTTGTTTGTTCTTTCTTTATTATTATTCTTCTATGTCTCTCTATATTATCTCATAACTTGGGGCCTCATACCTGAAGCTTGCCATATGTAATTAATCACAACGTTGTTATATTGTTTATGCGTATTCCTCTTGCTGCGTTGGAGGCCTAGGAAAGACGATGTAGAATTGCTATTTTTACGTTGAGAAAGCATGTTCATTAATGGTCTTACTATTAGCTATAACTTAATGTTGGTGGCACGCCGAATTTTTTTACCAACGGTGTTTTGATTTTGCCTTCTTTTGGGACCGTTTTTTTATTGCTTTTTAAAATAATTTTTTAGCACAAAAATTTTAATTTTTGTATTAAAAAATTGCTTTAAGATGTTGTAAGGGATCTGTCCCAAATGAAGACAAAGCCTTGATGTGTTGATGGCATGTGATGGTTGGTCTATTGCTGGCTGGGGAAGGAGCTATTATTTTGTGTGGATACCGGACGGTTCTCCAGTTCAAGCGTGGTATATTTTTAAAGTATCGTGATACATTTTTATTGATATCTGGACGGTTCTGACTCAGTACAGAATAAAAATTCCTTGGGGAAGATGACAACTTTCCAGCCTGGGAATTCAACAGGGAAAAAACAGCTGTTGTTGCGGTTGGCGCTTATTCAAAATTAATTTGGATGCTTCTTCTGCTTGTCTCCTTTTTCTTACTTTTTCGCTATCAACTTTGGCATCTGCTGTTCAGCCTCTTGTCGGTTGTAGGAAGAAAGAAAGTAAAAGAGAGGAGGAAGGATAAAGAACTTCCTCTGGTTGCAGGCATAGAAAATGGCGATGAATTGAATTCATAGTACGAGTTCAACACCTTTGTTAGTCTTTTTGCTTCTGGAAAGAAGTGGAGAGAGGCTGCCACATAAATAAAAGCTGGTAAAAAGAAATATCGTCACTATGGTGGCCAGTTCTGTAAATATTTTTACTTTATAAAATCATCATATTATAAATTAAAATAGTTAATGTATAATGAAGTCTTATATAATCTAAAATCATTTCTATTTTCTTGTGCATCCACTTAGCCTTCAATCTAAAGATTTTGAGAGAAAATAGTGAATCATAATGGTGTTCTATCAATCATCAAGTCATAAAGGCTAGAATACTTCTTATTGTGTTATAAATTAAATAAATGTTTTTCTTCAATAGCTATAGTTCTGTTTTGAATTGTATTAGTGATTCGAGCTCCATTAAGAATTACTATAACGATATAGTCCTAAGGGCCCTAAATGTTCTTGTGTGGGACATAACTTTTGGAAGATGATGCTGGTGCTCCTTTTATTATAGCTATTGTACCTTCAAAAACATCCATTTTAGCCCTGTTAGTAGCTTGGGATTCTCTACAAGTTTGAAAGACTTATTATTAATCTATGTAGAATTAGATTGTGTATATCTGTTGTCATGCTTGCTGGGGGGTGCAGGGGTCCTCCGACTATTTGGGTTCAGGTGTACAACGCCCCTGACTTCGTGTACAACGAGCACCTCTGTGATGCGTATCTGAGCGCTCCAGGGATGTGTACCTGAACTTCCCAGCACTGCATTGTTCGCTGTATATTCCCCATCGCAGTGCTATCAGACGAACCAAATGACAAAGGTTGAGCGTTGCAGTGCTGCAGAGCTGCAAGACGAACTGGTAAGGGTGACATCCCTTAGTGATATTAATTACTTTTCTTTTTTGTTTCTTTTGTGAGAACGGTGTAAGAGATAAGGGAAGCAAGGAGAGATTGAGAGAGAGAGAGAGAGAGAGAGAGAGAGAGAGAGAGAGAGAGAGATTTGTACTTATTTCTCCTAATTTTCTTAGTATATTTCTTGATGTGGTGTGACTCCATGATTTTTTTCTCAATTTTATTTTTTTCCGCGTTAAATCTTGGTGACCTTTACTTTTCGTTGCATTTCTGGATTTCTTGTTTTATCTCATCACATGTTTTACTTCCATCCCTAACAACTGGTATCAGAGCAAGGTTGTTCAGTTCGAGTGGGAGTAATGACTGAAGAAGCAAGATACAAGATTGACAAATTCAATAATTTAAACTTTGCATTATGGAGGATACAACTTAAAGATTTGTTCTATCATAAGAAGTTGTATTTATCATTGGAATGAATCACCAAGAAGTTGGATTCTATAATTATGAAAGAGTGTGAGGTTCTTGACCAGAGTGCACTTGGTTTTATACGACTTTTAGTTTTCTCATCTATTGCATTCAACATTCTAAATGAGATGACTACAATAGATCTCATGGTCGTACTGACTAAATGTATGAGAAGGTATCAGCTTCAAACAAAGTGTTATTGATGAAGAGGTTATTCAACATGAAGATATTGGACAAAACTCCAATGGCAGAGCACCTAAATAATCAGAACATTGTGATGAGTCAGTTGTGTTCATTTGATGATGGGATGAGGGCATTATTATTATTATCTTTGTTGTTAGAAAGCTAGAATGAGCTTATTACTGATGTAAGTAATTCTTCAGGAAGTTCATAATTGAACTTTGAGGATATTGTGGAGTTAGTACTTAATGAAGAGGTTCACAGGTGGACGAACAGTGAGTCTTCAAATTTTGTTATGAATGTTGAAGCAAGAGAAAATGGTTTAAAAAAATTTCCAAGTAGAGGAAGATCTAGATCAATGAGAGGAAATACTATTTTAGGTAGAGAAAAAGTTGCGTGCTAAAGATGTAAAAATAAGGGTCACTTGAATAAGGACTTTGTAGTTCAAAAGAAGGTTAGTGGTGGAGGTTAAGATAAAAAACTTTATGCAAATGTATATGCAAAAGAATTTCAGTTGGATTCATTAATTTTATCTATGGATAATTTTGAATCTTAGGTTATAGATTCAATTACTTTATTTCATGCAAGTTCTAATAAGGATGCATTAAAAACTATACTAAAGGTGATTTTGGCTAAAGTGCATTTATGAGACAACACGCACTACAATATTATTGGATAAAAAAGATGTTTATATCAAAATGTCAAATGGGTCAGTTTGGAGACTCAAGAATATTAGGCATGTTCCTTGTTTGAAGAGGAATTTAATTTATGTGAGTAAGCATGCAAACTCAGGCCATGTGACATTATTCACACGAGATATGTGGAATGTGGCAAAAGGGGTTATGGTCATAGCTCATGGCAATATTGAAAACACCTTGTATGTTATCAACAAAAAGATTAGATTTTATTGGAGTAGCTGGTTTAGATGTCGATGGAGGTTTTTGGAATCAAAAGCTTGGTCATATGAGTAAGAAATGTATGGATTCACTTCATATTAGAGGAAAGTTTCCTGATTTAAAATCTATAAATTTAAATTTTTTGAAGACTATATATATGACAAGCAACATATGATGAGTTTTTTAAATATTGGTTCAAAGGTCAAGTCAAAGAAGTTGGAGTTAGTTTACATTGATATATGGGGTCTTGCTTCATTTACTTTTATAAGGAGGAGGTTTGTATTTTGTTACTTTTATTGATGCTCACAATCAAAATATATGTGTACTTCTTAAAGCACAATTCAGATGTATTTAATGTTTTCAAGAAGTTGAAGGCCTTTAAAGTTCAAGTGTCTTAGATTAGATAATGGTGGTGAGTATTAGGATAAAAAGTTTAAGGAGTATTGTGCTTTGAATGGGATTAGGCATGAGTTTATTGTTCCAAAAGCACAACAACAAAATAGAGTTGCAAAGAACATGAATAAAACTATCACTGAGCTTGCCATGAACATAAGGTTACATGCTGTTCTACCTAAGCAGTTTTGGGTAGAGGTAATGAATACTACAATTTATTTGATCAATCGTGACCCTTTAGTTCTTCTGAATGAGGGGTTACCTGAGGATGCCTAAAGTGGAAAGGAGGTAAGTTTATCTCATTTCAAAGTTGTTCATCCTATGTTCATGCTGATGCAGAGTCTAGGAGTAAGTTTAATTCAAAATCTATCAAGCATATATTTATTGGATACGCCTCAGATGAATTTGGTTACAAATTCTTGCATTATAAGAATAAAAAATTATCAGGAACAGTGATGTCAAATTCAATGAAAATGAAATGTACAAGGATCAAAATGGAACTTTTGAAGATTCTTCCAAATATGTTTGGATAGAGGATGAAGATGATGATAAAAAAGATAAAGTTTGTGAAGCATAGATAGTACCTCAAACTTTATTGGGAGGCAGCTTAGTGGATTCTCAAGTACTTGAGAGGATCAGTTAACAAAGCTCTTAGTTTTGGTTGTGCAGATATTAATCTATAAGGTTATGTAGATTTTGATTTTTTGGAGATCTTGATGTATGAGGAGCACAACAGATTATATCTTCACTTTGGAAAAGATTACAATGATTTGGGTTTCTAAGTTATAAAAGATAATTGTACTCTCAACCGCAGAAATAAAGTACATTGTTATTGCTGAGGATAGCAAAGAGATGATATGGTTGTAAAGTTTCTTGGTAGAAGTTTACAAGGGATAGAGGAATGGAAAATTATATAGTGACAACATGAATGATATTCATTTAGCCAAGAATACTACATTCCATGCAAGGATGAAACATATCTAACTTTGGTATCATTTCCTCAAATTGCTTGAGGAAGATGGTCAGTTATTTTCAGAGAAGGTACACACAACCAAAAATCCTGTAAACATGTTAATGAAGATGATGACAGTTGATAAGCTGAAACTATGTGTAACTTCAGTTAGTCTTAAGGGAGGATGAGAGCAGGGGTGAGCCACACTACATGTGCTATGATTGATGTACATATCGAGAGAAGGATTCATCGCAATTAGTTCTAAGTGGGAGATTGTAAGTCTATGTGGAATCAGATTATGTTGATCAGTTGTCATGCTTGCTGGGAGGTGTAAGTGGCCATTCCCCTACTTGGGTTTAGGTGTACAACCTACCGACACTGTGTACCTGAGCGCCTCAGCTCTGCATTATTCATTGGGCATTTTTATATGAAAACAACAGAGAGAAGAGCACCTTAACACTGTATATTCAACACCACAATGCTGTTAGACGGAACAAATGACAGAGGTTGAGCGCCACAACCCTCCAAACTAACGCCGAGTACTACAAGGCGGACCAAACAATTTTTCTTTATCATTTTTCTTCAGGTTGTGTCTCTTGGTGATATTAATTGCTTTCCTCTTTTGATTCTTGTGTAGGAATGATGTAAGAGAGAAATGAAGCAATGAGAGTGAAATAGAAGAGAAATTTGTACTTATTTTTCCTGATTTCCATAGTAGATTTCTTTGTGTGGTGTGGCTTTGTGGTGTTTTTTCTTTTGATTTTGGATTTTTCCATGTTACATCCTTATGTCCTTTACTTTTCGTCGCATTTCTAGATTTCTTATTTTATGTCATCGTGTGTTTTATTTTCATCCCCAACACTTATTATTGGTCAAGTTAATTTATTTTTTTGTTGTACATTTTGGCCAATTAAGACAAATTCACACACATATTACATACACATAACTTGAACCCAAGATCTCTTAGTTTGTAGTTAAAGCTCCCAACCAACATACTAATGAGAGTTGCGTGCCAAGTTAATTTATTGAGCACCAAATGATGTTTGAGACTTTATGGATTTGGTGGAGTCTTTGATTGCATGCATATTGTTACAATTTTTTTTAATTCATTAAGTAATTTATGATCAAAATATTTAAAAAGTGGTGGCTTTTAAAAAGAATTGCAGACACTAAATAAAAAGTAGTGGCAACATATTAATTAATATTCTTAAAAATGACATATATTAAATATAATAGTTGCATATGCGATGCATTTTTCTTACAGCTCATCAATATAATTTTTCAATGCTCATTCAAAGATGCTTTTGAGTTTTTCCTTAACTCTTGAATGCAACTCCATAAACTTATTTAATGTCAACTATAATTATTGCATGCTCACTCATGATATTAATTTCAATTTTCTTTGTCAATTTATGAGTAGCAACTTTGCAAATCCAAATATCCATAGAATTAGGCTCAAGTTAAGTTAGCTCAATTCATGTTAATTTAATATGGTTCAAGCCAAGCTAACTCAACTAGTCACGACCATGATAGCTAAGCCAATATGTAAAGAAATGCAAAAGCTTTTAAAGATAGAGTTTATCAAGAAGGTTTAGTATCCGTAGTGGATTACAAATGTGGTGATGATGAAAATATCAAATGGAAAATGGTAAATGTGTGTTAGTTTCAGGAATCTAAATTATGACTAGCCCAAAGGCAAATATCCACTATCTCAAGATTGGTGTTTTAGTCAACTATCCTGTGATAAGATTCTTGGATGCTTTCTTAGAGTATAACTAAATCAAAATACACTTGACTGATTGTGAGAAGACAACCTTCATCATAAATGATGAATTATATTATTAGGATGTAATACCATTTGGTTAAAAAAATAATAGTGCAACATACTAAAGGATGATGTATTATATTTTTTGAAACTAAAATAGGTAAAATATTTAAATTTATGGAGGTAATATCTTGATTAAGAGAAAAACTTCAGAATAGCTTGTTCTGATTTTCAAATAGAATTTTTCTACTTTGAAATAATATGACATGAAGCTAAAGCATATGAAGTATATCTTTGGAGCTAGATCAAGGACGTTCTTGAGCTTCTTATTAACTTTAGAAAGTTTAAAATGAACCTAGGAAAGGTGAAACCAATTTTTGAAATGCCTTCTTAAAATGTAAATGAGTTGTAGAGACTGACATGGCAAATTGATGGCCTTAACCTATTCATTTCAAAGTAGGGAAGCAGGTGTTTTCCATTCTTCAGTTTCTTTGAAATGATAAGCACTTTTCATTGAATGAACAATGCACATGTGCCTTTTAAATAATTAAAGCCACTCCTCTCTTTGTCACCTCTACTTCAAAATCTACAATAAGAGGAGGACTTACTCTTGTATCTTTATGTTGTGGCAAAGAGGTAGTGAAATTGGTTCTCATTCATGAAGAAGGAAATAAATAATGGTCGATCTATTATGTAAGTAAAATTCTATGAGGGGTAAAGTAGCACTATTCAGACATGAAGAAGCTTATATGGGCTTTAATCTTTTTTATGCAATGACTTTGTCATTTTTTTTGGAACATTCAATTCATGTTGTTACCTATCATTCATTAGCGTCAGCCCTACTGAAAATAGATCACTCAAGGTGACTACTCAAATGGGACATGGAACCCAACAAATTTCAAATTTAGTATACACCAAGGATCACCATCAAAGCACATACACTAGAAATTTTTTTTGTTTGCTTCAATATAGTCCATGCTGAAGAGGAAGTGATTATAAAAGAAGATTTATTGCAAACTATTTACGTTGGTGGTGCCTCTGATGCATAAGCAGTCTATATCCTCTAACGTATAAGGAATATGCCTTGGAGTTATTATAAGGACTTTAGCAGGAATAATTTTATCCCATGTTATCTAAATTAGTTTCAAATTACCAACAATCAAGCCCAAGTATGAGGCGTTGATCGCAGTCTTAAGATTTGTTGTAAGAGTGTGAGTGAAGCACTTAATAGTATATTCTGAATTTCAACTTATTATAAATCAAATAAATGAGAAAAATGAGGCTAGAAAATAAATCCTTCAAAATATTTATTCAAAGTTAACATTGAGATACGAATTTTTAAGTATTGTAATATTGAGCACATTCAAAGATAATGTAATCAATTTATCGATTTGTTGGAGTACTATTCAAAAAACTGGAAGTAGACTTATGGAGAAGATCCATATCAAATTTTACCTAAGGAATTCAAGAAGTTACACTCTCATTAACTGCTTGGCCAACCTTTGTAGTTAGACCTTCAACAATTTGTTATTGAGCAGGCACTTGGGTTATTTTAATTGTAACTTTTTAAATTTTAGATGCATAGACACCTAGGCACTTTCCTTGCCCAACAACAAGGCCTAAGAAAACATTATGAATACTTCAAGATGTTAAAGTTGGTTGAGGGTTATGACTAGGTAGGTAGTGAGAGCTATTAATAGTTTGTGACTTTTGAGCGGATCCAACTTCAATTGTTTTGTCTATAGGGCACTTGTCAGTGACGGAGCCAGAAATTTTATTAATGAAGCCTAAATTAAACACTACAGAAAAATCATCTATTATCAACGCAAATTTTCGACGGTTTTCAGACGGTCAATTTTCCGGCGGTTTTGACAAAAAAAGCCTAAAGCATATGCTTGCATGTTAAATCATATAATTATTAGGTCTTATTTTTTATGAAAATAATGCTAATTTTCTTATGTAACTGATCATCCACACTTAAATTTCCTTTAAAATGAGTTCAACATATAAAAAAATTCAATTAAAATGTATATTACACATATCTCAAAATAAATACAATACTTTAAGATCCATTTTGACAAAAAAAAAGATCAATAAATTATGTAACTATTTTTTTTATGAATATATTACATACAATAAAAATCGTGATGGAATGATTATAATTTGTTCATCAAACTCTTAATTTTCTTATAAAAAATTATTTTAATCTCTTATATCACTTAAAGCCAAGAAATTATTTTTTTTAAGGGGGGCATGTGCACCCCCCCACGGTCAATTTTCCGGCGGTTTTGACAAAAAAAAAGCCTAAAGCATATGCTTGCATGTTAAATCATATAATTATTAGGTCTTATTTTTTATGAAAATAATGCTAATTTTCTTATGTAACTGATCATCCACACTTAAATTTCCTTTAAAATGAGTTCAACATATAAAAAAATTCAATTAAAATGTATATTACACATATCTCAAAATAAATACAATACTTTAAGATCCATTTTGACAAAAAAAAAGATCAATAAATTATGTAACTATTTTTTTTATGAATATATTACATACAATAAAAATCGTGATGGAATGATTATAATTTGTTCATCAAACTCTTAATTTTCTTATAAAAAATTATTTTAATCTCTTATATCACTTAAAGCCAAGAAATTATTTTTTTTAAGGGGGGCATGTGCACCCCCCCCCCCCCCCCCCCCGCACTTGTGGCTATGACAATTGTGGCAAATGTGATAGAGGGCATTAGGGCCAAGGGGCGAGTCTAGGAGGATTCTAATTTTGTCTTATTCAATAAATTTATAATATAAAAAATACTTCTTTTGAGGTATTAATTAAAACTTAAAATTTCATGCTGTATTTTATTTGCTTAAAAAAAAAAAGAAAATTTTTAAGGAAATACAATGCACTCATTTTACTCTGAAAAAAAAAATTCTTATTTCTTTCTCAAAATTGGTCCAGGCTGCTCAGCAATTCTAAATTCGGGGAAGTACTTCGACTGATTTTATTGTTTCCAAAAGGGGGAGAAATTATTCTGTGCGGTCACCGAACGATCCGGAGATTAATCAAAACACACAACGTCACTTGATATCCAGTGTTACACAGCAGCAGTGCATAACAAAAAAATGACGTGACGTGTTCTGATTTACCTCTAGATGCCGTTCAATGACTGCACATAATAATTTCATTCAAAGGAACCGAATGTCGAGGCAGTGTTGAATTTGAACTTTCCTTTTAAGCTTGTAATTGTCTCAGGGCAAATTAATTTTTTTTCTCAAGACGCCACGCCATAAAATTCATGATCTGATGGACAGTCTAGATTAAAATGTATCATGACCGACGTGGAGAACCATCTTCATGCAAGTCTGACTCAACAGAGGCATTCTCTAATGCGACGTTTTTTGTGGTGCACAAACCCCACCCACGAGAACCGCACGCAAGGTGGAGGATACATTATAAGCCATGTGTCAGAATTTTAGTTGCGGTGGAAGCGTGATTATTAACGACAAAATCTTCAAAAACTAATTTATTTTCTCCCTCTTAAGGGGCTGTTTGGCAACAAGTGGGATTTTGGATTTAGCGTAAATCCGACTTAAATCCCACGATAAATCCGATACCAAACAGCCCCTAAGTGATCGGCTCCTCTCTCTCTCTCTCTCTCTCTCTCAATGTCAGTCTCCAAACCCTAGCTCCCTTTCTTCCTTCGATCGTTGACTCCATCCAGAAGTGTTATTAAGTTATTCTCTTCAACCAATCATTGAATTGCGCGTTTGTTCTCATCCGCAGCAACTTCTTTCGGCCGACGATTGTTGTCGCTCCCGGCGCGCTCACTCCACTTCTTTTCCATCATTTTCTGGTAAATTCTGCTTTTAAGTTTCACCATTTCATCATTACACACACACACACACACCTCTTTGTACTTTGAAAATATGCCATAAATAATCAAATTTCATTCTAAAATTACAATCTTCTAAAAACTATTCTTGTCTATTACATGTACATATAAGTTGATTAAAACAACTGGCAATTTTTAATAGCTTTGATGTGATGGATTTGGTAGTTTGTTCTATTTTTATTGTATCATATTCTTTTGGTTGAACATATTGCAAGAGTTGTTCCTAGGAGATAGTTGCTATTTTGTGGTGGTCTTTATTCATCGATATATTAATGTGTTGTTTGGCTCTTTGTGCGTTTCTACTATAAATATTATTTCTATTCATTGAAATCATTATGTTTGTAAATGAACTGAATCTTGCCTTATTCAAGTTCACTCTTTTTTTATCAATTTAGCCATTTAGGAACTGGTATGGGGTGGCGGGCTCATGTAAAAATGTTTGGTTTGCATTTCTTTGACAAATTATTATGATAGGAAACACTTGAAGATCTCAAGTACTTTCTATCAATCTTCAAAAAACAACGAGCTTTTTCCACAAAATCCACACAAAATAAAAAAATACAGTAGATAATTTGTATTATTTGATGAAAGGAACACGAAAAAATACACCTGATCCTCAATTCAAGAGGAGGATCGATCTCTCCCAAATCTCTAGACGCCGCTAGAGCCCAAAGAAAGCCTAAATCTAAGAGATCTCAAATTTCAGCCAAATTCAACATACCCAAACCCTAGGAAAACAAACTATTTAATGCATACAAATCAAAAGGAAATCCCTAAACAATCCCTACGTTCAAATTTCCCTCTTAATTCCAAAAAACAAAACTTCCTATTCGGCTTCTGGACGGCGTGTGGCTCGCGCGGCATCCCAGCAGGCGAAAAAACTCCGCCCTGTTCGCGTCTGGGCCGGCCCCGTGTGGACCGGCTGGACTGGTCCACTTGACCAGTCTAATAATACATCCCTCCCAAAGATCTACCTTGTCGTCAAGGTGGAGATACACCCGTGTTCCGGTGGAGGTAGCCATCCTTGAGGTGGTAGAAAATCCTTACCAAATTGCAGGAGGGGTTGCCCTGAAGAGAAACACCCCCTCCCTCCTCCATCCTGATCAAATTCAGCTTGTGTAGTCCCACCCGATAAGCTTCCCCCACCTCTTGTAGGCTCCTAACCATGGTCTTAATTGATACCATGACTTTGGATAGCCTTGCATCTCCCCTTATAACCACCTTTCTCCCATCCACTATTAATTCCATCGTGAGTGCTCCCCAATTGTCCTTAGTTTCCCCCAAGGTCTACAACCATTTCATTCCTAGGATGACATCAGTACTTCCTAACTCTACAACAACAACAACAACAACATCAAGCCTTTATCCCACTACGTGGGGTCGGCTACATGAATCCTTTTTCTACATGACATAAGTACTTCCTAAATCTAGTGGGAGAAAATCCTCCCTTACCTGAATCTTCTGGATGGTCAACACCAATTCTCTATAGATCCCCTGGCCTTTCTCCACCTTCCATGTACCCATCATCACCCCATAATAATCGGTGTCCACCAATTTCACTTCCAGTTGATTGACAACCTGAGTGGAAATGAAATTATGGGTAGCCTCACTGTCAATCAAAACAACCACCTCCATGCCTGCTATCTCCCCCTTCACCTTCATCGTATGATTCAAGGTCAACCCTGCTACTGAATTCAGGAAAACCTCGGCCAGATTCAAATACAACTTCTGCTCCCTCTCTTCCTCTAACTCCCCCTCACATCCCTCCTCAGTTTCCTCGTCATCATAGATGGTGAGAACCTAAAGAGTTCGATCCTTGCACCGATGTCCTAGCGTATACTTCTCCTTGCACCTGAAACACAACCCCTTTGCCCTCATCTCCTGCATCTCCTTCTCTGTCTGCCTCTTGAAAATTTTCCCACTCTCTCCTATTGGCTTCTCCCTGTTGGTCTCATTAATGTTGCCTGATGCAGGCTCCTTGGGTGCTAGAAGAGTGGTCGTTGTCCTGTAAGAGCCTCTTGAGCTGTTGTTCCTGGCCCCTTTCTCCAGATTATTCTGACTTTCCACCAGCTGTGCCAACTTTATGGCCTCCCCCAAGTCAATAGGCATCAAAACTTTCACTGCTGCTCAGATCTCTGCCTTTAACCCCTTCATGAAGTTTCCCTCCAATACCGTATCTGATAACTGCTCCACCCAACTGGCTAGGTGCTCAAACTGCTCCTGGTAGTCTGCTACTGATCCCTCCTGTGCTAGAGCAAAGAACTGCTCATAGAAATCTCATCACTGGTCGGTTTGGAAACGTTCTATTATGCAGTCATTGAATTCCCTCCAATCCCTGATAGGTCTCCTTTGGTCTCTCCACTGGTACCATGACAGTGCCTTCCCCTCCAAACATAGGTCTGCTACTGTCAGCTTCTCCTCCTCCGTTAGCTCATTAATGGCAAAGCATATCTCCACCTTATATATCCACCCATACGCATCCTCCCCCTCGAAGATAGGCATCTTCAACTTCTTTAACTTTTGATCTCCACCATTCCCCCTTATTCCTCCATAGCTTCCCCTTTCCCAAGTGCTCAGCCCACCCCACATCTCACGGTCTTCCCTTGCTCTTCCATAGCCCAAACCCCCTTCGAATTCTCCTCTTCTTCCCTCAAACTCAGCACCTCGGCGACCATAATGTCCCTCCTAGTGTTCTCAATCAGCACCCCTTTGCTCCGTCCCTCCATACCCGTGCATTTCCTCGTACCTACCTCCTCTATCCTCCCCCTGAAAAGGCTCCAGATAGGGTTTTCCTTTTTCTCTCTCCATGATCTCCACCTCATCTTACTCCCTACGAATTTTAGAATTCTTGTTTTTTCCTTTCTCCCCTTTTGCCACGAAAGATGCAGTTTCGTTGTGGATTTCCAACATTTTCTTCATCATGTTCCGGAGATCGGCTACTTGTCATTCTGTGGAGGAAATCCTTTCCTCCACCGTTGTCTTGATTTGGTTCATCTCCCCTTCAAGCCTTTCTTCTAGCGCATCAACTTTCTTGGCCACCATCTCGCTCCGAACCTTTGTAAATCCGGAATTACCAAAACAGCAACTCCGTCCCTTCCCGACCAAAAATAGGCCAACGAACTTTGCCAAAATTAACGCACAAACAGTCCCAAGACTTGCTCTGATACCAATTTGATAGGAAACACTTGAAGATCTCAAGTACTTTCTATCAATCTTCGAAAAACAACGAGCTTTCTCAATAAAATCCACACAAAATCACAAAAACAGTAGATAATTTGTATTATTTGATGAAAGGAACACGGAAAATAGTAAGATACACTTTTTCCATCAAACCTCTGAATAAATGTATGGCTTCCATAGTCGACCTACCCGGCATAAATCCAAATTGATTTTGAGAAACATTAGTATCACGCCGCAACGTATATAATGTGAAATGATTATATACGTGAAAATGTTGGAGTAGCTCCAGTGGTGGATAAGATTTGAGAGAGTCGTCTTAGATGATTTAGTCACATTAAATGTCGGCATTCTGTTGACCTGGCTAGGAGAGTAGATGTATTAGAGTTGACCTTTATTAAGAAAGGTGTATGTAGACTTATTAGAATTTAGAAAGTATTAGAATGACAATTTTTATTAAATTTAAATGAGAATTTGACTCTTAATATGACACAATGGAGAAAAAAGACTCATGTAGCTGACACCAAGTAGTAGGATAAAGGCTTGATGTTAGGGGTGTAAGTGAGCCGAGTTGGCTCAAACTCGACTCAGTAACGAGCTCGCGAGTTGAACTTGATGAAACTCGGCTTGTCAACTCGCTCAATTAGGTTGATATTTAAAAAAAAAGTTATATTATTTAAAAAATAACAATTTGATTTTCTCTAAATGCAGCCCAAAAAACTTTAAAACACTAATTACATTTAAAGCAATTAATGCAAACTTGCAGCTCTATTTTTTGGGAAATCTGCCAGCTTCTTTTAAAAAAATCATTAATTATTATTTTTTTTAAACTTGCTCATGCTTATCTCCAAAAAAACAAAGCCCAATCTTTACCTTCAATGCTCTTTTTCTCCAACGGGCTGCTAAGCTCGTTTATGTTTTCTCCTTTCTCCGGTGAGCAAAGCTCATGAGTTGGTGTCCTGAGTTTGACTCCCAACTTCCTTCTCTGGCAAGCGAAGCTCATTGTAACTCTGGTGACCAGGTGTTCCAACTAGGCGTGCAACCGAGTCAAGCCGGCTCGCGAGCTGAATCGAGCTCGACTCGTTAACGAGCTTGCGAGTCAAGCTTATCGAGTATCGAGCTCGAGTTTGAGAAAAATTTCGAGCTCGAGTTCGATACATATCTTGTCCCGGCTCGAGTGCTCGTCGAGCCAGACCGATTAGAAGGCGGAGTCACGGTCCCGCGGACAGATTTGCGAAATTTGAGTTTCGATGCAAAGTGAAGCGGTGGGAGTGCGGGACTGCAGAAATTCTTGACCGGGCGAATAATGAACCGGGTTCGGTAACAAATAAACAACTTATTTTAAATTTCAGCAGAGTGAAGAGCCGGTCTATCCGTGAGGAGCTGTGGTCCGTGGAGTGCATCGTTCGTTCAAGCTAGGGCATGTCTTCTTCGTCTGCCATTATTGCAGTGCTCAAGCAAGAGGCGTGAGTTGGTTAGTAGAGAGAGTTTTAAGATCTTGTTAGGAGTTCTATTCTTCATTTTTTTATGTTTCCTCTTTTTTTTAGAGGTGTCTTCCAGTGCTGCAGCAGTACACAAAGCATCAATTTTTTTTTTAGCCTCTTGTGAAATTTTTCCTTTACAATTCTTTTATGCTTCAGTTTTTACCGTGTTTCTGTATCTATACAATTCGAGGAAAAGTTATAAACCATTCCAGAAGAAATATTTTCCCAATTTCCCTGCTACTAGTAACCGCTGGCTTCATTTCTTTGTTGGAATTCTTGGGATGGCATTGAATCCATGGG